CTACCAGATTTAATGACTGTGCTCACAATTCTAAAATTAGTCAATTTTATCATAGCCAAATGAAAAAAAAATTACTGCACTGCTATTAAAGCCTTTAAAATGTGTCATTAATTGGTCTTTGTGCATACATGTTACAAAATGGAGATAATCCCTAGAAATGTTCAAATTCTAAGGCCCTTACACAGTTCTCATTCAGGTTAATGGCAAACTATCATAAGCTCCAGGGCTGACTGTTGACTTAAAAATAGTGCTGACATGTTCTATTACGAAACAGACAACTTAAGTTTCTAGCTTTTTCTTTTTTGAAAGCTACCATTCATTTACTCCAGTTATGACCTATAACTGAAAAATAAAAGCAAAATAGTGATAAGAAGACCATAGGAAAATTACTTAAGAGTTTTCACCGGGCTGTACCAGGAGTTATAGACTACAAGTCATTTACACCTAAATGTGACTTTATAGATAAAGCAATCTGAACAAACACTGATAGAACACAGTGACTTCTTTATTGCTTTGTGTTTGTTGTATGTATTTAATGCATAGTATTCATCTGCTCCTACATATCCAATGCTATAAACAGAGTGTTCTTAGTAAAAGACTAAAGTTGCTTAGTAGCAGCTCTGCATAAGGTTTTCTTTGTGTATTCAGATCACAATTCGATGTAAAAAAAATAAAGTGGGAAAGAATAGGAGAGAGTATTATACACAGACCCCAAGGCAGTTCTTGTGAAAGCCAATTCCTGTACCATATTTAAGCCTCTGCTACTAATACACTAAATACAGCTGACTTCAAAAATCAAACCATAAACTTTTTTTTCAGTGAATAATTACTGATGCCTGAATATTTACTTTCAGGGGGAAAATATAAGCACTGCATTACAGTTTGCAAGTTATAATTTGTCAGGTTAAAGAAAAGTTCTGCAATACCCTGGGAAGTAGATTATTTGCAGACCTTTTTATTCCTGAATTAAACCTAATTCCTTATGCTTATCTAGCATTGCCGTGAGGAAGAAGGGTCAGACTAGTTGAAAAAATATGCAGAAGATACTGACTTGCTTTTTAACATACAAGCTCCATCCATAAATAGCTTAGTAATTGCCACTTTAATCTATGCAAACTCATCATATATGGTACTTCAGAGCTGCATGCAACTTTTTGATAATCAACAATTCTGACAATCTGAAGATAAAATTACATTGTTGCAAATTAAACTGTTAAAAATTAACCCAAGAATTTCTCAGTCACAATGTCCCCACTTTGGGTTTTTTTCTGTCCTTTAGATGGATTGTCTACCTTCCCATACATGATTGAAACCCTAGAGCTATTTTCAAAATTGTGCTATTTATCAAGAAATATTTTGAAAACATATTCAGGAAATAGTATTCCATAATGAAGCATTAATAGGACAACCCCCTAAGAATTATATAGACTAAATATATAAACACATTATGCATAGAAAACTGGGTTAGGGAAGTATATGCATTACCTACTTCAACTGTAAAATACCATTCATATTTAGGTTTATAAACACAAGAGTTGGGAACTATTGAGTTCTTTTGGCTAAAGCCCAATATTGGCCTTATTTCAGTTTAATTGGAAGAGGATCTTGAATTCATCTTCTCCATGAGATATCAGGAACCTGGATTTCTGTTTGTACCAAAGGTTAATAAGAAATGTGTCTGCAAAAGTCAAACAGCATTAAATACCAAAAACTGATTATTATTCTGCAGGAGTTGTTCTGTCATTCATAATCTCTCCATGCTCCAACCTTCCACAGCTAATCTTTAATGGATGACATGCAGGAAAGAAAAATAACGTCTAAAAAGGGACTCTAAAGTGAGCTTTGAAGAAATGGAAAATACTTTTCTTCTGTGCTGGAAGTTATTGCCACCCAAAGTTTATTACTGGCAAGATTACTTATTTCCTCTTACTTTATGGGATATTAAATCAAATTAACTCTAAGCTAATAGCCACTAGGATATTTGGTTTTACCTTTGCTATTAAAACTATTGCACATGCATATTCAGTAATTATTTTTCAAGTTAATTTAGGAAATTTCAAATAGTGTTCATGAACATTTACATGTCATATTTGAGACTTCCAGAATACCAGAAATGCAAATTCACTTCATTTTTGTGAAAAAAGACATGTAATAGGGACTTCATTGTGGGTACAGTGCTGCAGTTTCCAAGAGACTGTATAACATATAGAACAGTATAGAAGTATTGCTTTCCTCTTTTTCCGCAATACATTTCCTGTTATTACCCTGGGCTTTCAGAGAGCATCTGCAGAAATCTAATATTGTTTTCAGGCACTAAAGGTGGCGTGCAACACCTAACAGGGCTGGACTCAATCCTGCTGAGTTGACATTGATTTAAAAAAATTTCAACTTTTGGTAATATTACTATTAGATACTGGAAAAAAACCCCAACAAACCAATCCCACAGAATAGCCATTGCTACAGAAAAATATAAGGAAAAATATTTTTTATTAGTTTTTCCTTCAGAATTAGTGTCTATATATATAGCAGTGTACCAAAATATTCTAAGCACTGAGGTTCTGATGCCAGCTATGATATATCTTGGTGCAGTAATGGCAGGAGTTACTGTGAGAAGACCAGGTCTTTGATATTTTTACCAGTCTAGAGAGGCTACCACTTCGCTCTTTAATTCTCCCTTACACTCAATCAGCTCTTTCCACTAGAAGTTCCCTGTTTCATTCTTCTGTTAGGAAAAAATGAAGTCACTTATTATGTCCATCCAAAGTGAGATCTGTTCTCTCTGTTAGTTCTTTTGAAGAGTTACTTCTTCGCAATACCTCCATCTTCATCTTCCAGTCTGTCCTCAGAAGATGTATGTTCCTTCCCTCTCTCCACTCCCAAAGGGGGCACCCATTCCCTTTTCTGTCTTCAGCTTTTCTGTTCTTTCCATGGGACTTGCTTAGGTATAACCCATCAATTAGAGGGTTACTTTTTAAAACAGAATTGTAATATTCCTCAAAGTAGGTAACACCTTTATGGTGTACTTTTCTGATGTTCCTTACAATATAATTCTCTGGAGTCACTTTCTTATCATAAAGTCAGTACTAAGTAATAAAAATGCAAACATCTATATTTACAAGCTTCGGTCTACCATGTGTTATACACTGCAGTAATTAAACATTAACTAGTAACATGAAATTACAGCAGGATGTGTTCTCCCTTCCCCAAAGAACTTAACACAGGGGGAAAAGTTTTTCCTTAAACACACTGCCTCTTTTTTATTAGGTTCTGCTTGTCCATCAGAACTCTCCCCAAGGCTTTTATGAGAGAGAGACACCTAGACCTCCAAAAATTCACATTATTCATGATTTCAAGCCATTTATCCAAACTTGGTAACATTTTTAGAAATGAAAGCAAAAAACCTGTGAAATATTAACGATGCTTCCTTTTGGCAAACAGCTTAAGTAGTAAGGAGCCTCTCGCCCTCTCTCAGCATTTAAAGGATTTTATACTTCCTGTACTCATAAAAGGAGAAAAAAAGGCTATATTTTTAAAGGTCATCCTTAAGACACATTGTAGCTCTCATTAAAATTTGGTTTATTCCTCCTTTTAAAATAGAATAAGTTTGTTAATAATATATCCATATTCATGACACTCTGTTCTGAAGAGAAAAATATGCTTAGGGCATAATTAGAACATTTAAACAGTAACGTAGGAAAAACCCCAATTTACTAACAAATATTTCAACTGTATCCATAAAAAGGAAACTAAACATGTTTTTGACACACCTTTCTTTCCAGGTTTTAATGAACAATGAACACCATATCAAAGAGAATTGAGTAGAGGTAAAACACTGGGCAAATATCCAGGAACAAACACAAAACTCAGATTCAACCCAAACAATTTGCATTAGCCTGCTGGATATAGCAACGATACACAGTGTGGATTTCTTTTCTTCTGAAAATAAAGCAAGCAGTTATGTGAAATTAAGTAAGAATAAAATTATGCCTGCATTTCAATTTGTTTCCTAATATGTAGATTATATTTACTTTTCCCCTTCCCCAATACGGAAAATCTAAGAACTCTCTCTTCCATCTATAATATTCACAGTATACTGTTTTCTCAGGAGTTTGATATTAAGTGGAAAGTCAGCCATCTGTTTTTCAGCTGGAGAGTATATTTTCTGCTACATTTTCCTGAAAGCAGTTACTCTTTCAGTACCAATATTTTGGGGACAGGCATGAGTACTATTAATACTATAGGAAGCGTTAAACACTTGCAGAAAAATCTTAAAGTATTTTTCATCCACTGGCTACACTGTACACACAGTCACTTTTCAATAATAAAAATACTTAGCTTCATTACTTTAGAAATTTCTGAAAGCATAAAATACTAACTGCCTCCATGCTTGTATATCTACCCAAAGAACAATTAAGAACAAATATAAGCATGCATTCACTTTTAACCATAAACTTAAAACCCTCTCCTTTTGAGAATTTATATAAACTTCATTCACTGGAGACATACCATCATCTGACAAAAATTCATTATAACTACCAAAAGAACAGATTTTCAAGAACACTGCAGGTCTCTAGTTGAGGTGAATGTGCGACTATCTCCATACACGGGGTGGGGGTAGTATTGCTCTGAACGAGCTAAAACAATAAGTGGTATTTGAACTGCTGGTTGAAAGGTAGAGGCACTGGTAATCATTATTTCCCCTTGTTTGTTCAGGACCTTCCAACAAAACAAACAACCTTTTTGTGATTGGATTGACATGGTGTTAACAATGCATTTAATGCCCAAATCAGTATGAATACAGGTAAAGCTCCTACTAATACCAGTACCAGGATGTTAAAGCCACCTATTTTCTAAGCAACTCTAAACAGCCACACATAAAAAAAAAGTCAAATCTTCCCTCCTTTAGCAAATAAAGCTAACATTCACTAGGCCACGTCATATAGCAACCACGGGTACTGTATGAGCCACACAGCCATCTGTTAAACACTTGCCTACTGTACCTGCAATCTTTTCTGCAATCTTAGCTTCTGTAGCTTTCTCTTGCAACTCTAAGTCCAGTTTTATTGTCTTCAACTCCTTGTCTTTTTCATCCAGCTTATCTTGGAGCTGAATTGAAGAAACGGGCAGTAAGATTCTTACATGGCCAAAACAGTCAACTAGCTCTTTTAAACACAATGAAATTTTAAATAATCATTTCCTTCCCCCAAAATACAGACACTAAGCATTACAAAAGAATGTCAATTGATTTTATTTATTTATTTATTTAAGGGACAAATGTTAAAAATTTCTTCTTTAACATCTGCCTTATTGTGCTCTGTGAGACAAGCAGCAATGTGAGTGCCATTGTTCTTACTTGGGATTCTCTTCTTCAGGTATCACCAGCTGGTCTTGCTAAGGAAGTTCGGAATTACATGGCATATAATGCAGGTAGTGTCTGCATGAGTAGCCCACTTCCCACCAAGAGTACTGACATCACAGCATGAAGAGACTGTGGTGTAAATGCATAATTTTTCATGTTCATCACCAGATAGAAAACTGGTATTGTTTTACATATACTAGGCCTTTATTTTAAATGGGAATTCACTAAATCTGTTCTTGGACAGATATCTGAGCTTGCCATTGAATATTCAATGACACTTAGTGGAAGGACTACAGTGTTTTACGGTGTTTAGGTGCAATGTTCACGTAGGATGGAATTTTCTTCCCCTCAACAAAGAGGAGGTATCAGGACACATTCATTATCTGAACCACATGTAGAGAAGCATGAGCTCCAGATTCTATTCATGAAGTCCTGGCCTTGTCTTTGTTTCTCCTTGGTTTTCACCCAGGATGCAAGAACCTATCTCACTGATTAAAAATATCAGAGGGTAGGTTGAAAGGGTATTTTTTAATTCCAGAGAAACAGTTGTTAAACCGATACTAGGAATCCCAAATGACAAGAAGTTAGCGATAGGTGCACTAAAATAAATAACAAAACTCAATTAGGAACACTTAAAATTGCATGTTTTGTAAGGCAACCATAAAAAACATATACTGTTATCTGAATATCTAAATTGTACCTTTTTATTTTTGGCCCTCAGAGTGTCCAATTCTTTCAAAAGGAATGCAGTTTCTGTTTTTCCACCTAAATCTGCAGCATCCTTCCAAGAGGGTATAAATTCAGGGAGTGTCCTCTTGGTCTTTCTTTCTACAGTGCTTTGTTTAGGAAGGAAAAAAAGAAAGAAAGAAAAATAATTTTTAAAAGTTATTGCTCCACCCTCCTGAAACAAAATACACAGAAGTAAGTTATCAAAAATCATTAACCATTGCAAATGCATTAAATAGTCAGAAAAAGGGATGCCCTTCAATCACTTCTTAGAGCTGTAATTCTGAAAAGATTCTCTAAGTCTGGAATAGTAAATATATATACTACAGTACTAAAGCAAAAAAACAGATTAATATAAATTTGCTATGAAGCCTATAAACAGCAAATGCTTAAGGAAAGCAAATATTAAAAACCATTGCAACAGAGCAAACAAAACAGAGCAACAAAGTAATAAAACATTTGGGAATCAAATTGATGCACATGTTAAAAGAAACCAAACTCTTTCATAGGACGTTAAGTGAAATGAGAACAACCTTAAAACAAGATCTTGGAGTTCACTTTGAAGAAATCTGTAAAATAATGGTGTGATTCTAAATATTATAATTGACAACAGGAATTCCATACTGCATGCCACTTGGGAGTTTTAAGATAACTTACTAGCCAGAGACACGATAAAATAAGACAAGATTCAATGGCCAGACAAATTCTGTCTCAAAGTAAGATTCTATAAAACTCCTTGGCTATGCATTGATACCCACAGATCACTCAGACCTCACTTGTAAGAAGGCAGCAAAATCAGATGAATGGGTTAGAATGGGGATTAACAAACATTTTTAATGTACATTTTTGATGCTTCCTGTAAGTGTTTTTTGGTTATAGGCTTCACAGTCAAGGAGTCATAAGAAGGAGCCACAGAAAAGCTCTACCTTCTCAACTCCTGTTTCTACTGAATACATTATTTCTTAATGTGTAATTCACATCCTAGAAAGAAAAGGAAAGCTATCTGAGGCTCCAAAGAGTTTCCCTTAGGTAGACAGTTGTCTGTATTCAGCTACCTCTTTTTCATCTGCTTTCCTTGGATTTATTTTCTTTATGATTCTTTAGGAAGGAAGTTAAGATCTGTACTCTGCAGGCAAACTGTGCAACCTAAAGCCCAAACACAGACAGCAGGGAGATTCCCATTAAAAATAAAAGTACTTTCTTAGTGCATTACGCTGTGTATGGGGCAGAAGAGTGCTTAAATTAGTTGTCTTCACTTTTGACATCCTTCAAAGCCTATTTCATCCTTGCTCTGTCTAGCAAATTTCATTTAGTAATTTTTCAGGCAGCAAGTAATAGATGCCTCTAGATACTATTGCCCAGGCATTACAAAACTAGCATTTCTTGTGTCCTTTCCATGCTCAGAGATGCTTCCATAAACAAGTTTGAATCTAACTCATCATCATCTTAAACTGAAAGAGGCTAAGTTCACATTAGCTATTAGGAAGGACTTCTTTACTCAGAGGGTAGTCAGAAACAGGAACAGTGTGCCCAGAGAAGTTGAGGATGCCTCATCCCTGGAAGTGTTCAAGCGCTAGATGGGGCCCATCCTAGGCAACCTGGCCTGGTGGAAAGTGTCCTTGCTTATGGCAGGGAGATTGGAACTAGATGACCTTTAAGGTCCATTCCAACCAAAACCATTCTATGATCATCATTCAACCCTCAATGTTTCTTCGCAATGTCTAAAAGAAATGTTGACAAATCACATTGATGGTACATCCAGATCATCATCTACAATGCAAATCAACACTGACTCAAAATTTCCTGGGTTGTTCTTTATCAAGATATTTTATCATCTTATATTGTAATGGCAATATATTTGGGGAAGGACAAATTTAATGTAATTTATATAGTATCAATGTGCTGGTTTTGCCTAGGATGGAGTTAATTTCTTCTCAGTAGCTGGTACAGTGCTGTGTTTTGGCACATAGCTTTAGGAGTCTACCTAGAACAAACCTGCAGATGGTTCAACATGCTGACTGCTGTGGAAGGTTAATCTCCATGTTCAAGACCAGCTTATTGCCAGTGGGAGTGGCACTGGTGAAAGACATGAGCAACAATCTTCGGCTGAGTCTGTGCTGGGCTGTACTTAACCACTTAACTGCTTTCAGTGAAGGATGCATTAACCTAACAGTATAGCTTGGTCCCTAATGCAAAAAAAGGCAATAAGGCAAATAGAAAAGTACTATGGATTGGGTTTGGCCCAATAAATCACCACTAGAGCAGACTAAAGATAAAAAAAGCTCAGATGTAGAATCTGCTAGACAGTTGAGGAATTAGTGTATTTTTCAGAAGTGTATCATAAGGCTTTGCAGACAAGCCCATTTGCAAAACTAACTGCCACCCTCAGTTGACTGGGTCTTCAGAATGCTTAAGTAACTCAAACTGGTAGCATGTTCCCTAGTTAGCTAGTTATACCTTTGTATATTATGTCACATATAGAATGAGTGCATGTATTTCTTAAGACTGCAGTTGAGGGCCATTGTACAGTACAGAAATTAATGACAAAAAATGACCAAAATTAATGACAGAATAAAATTTTCAGAGCTTTTATTAAACTTTTCAACCCTATTTGTCCTTCACCAGATTCCTGTCACATACCTTAATTCTTCAGGACCAGAATTACAATCATTTAGGTTTCCTCCTCTTTGACTGGTTGCTGACAAATCTGAAAGTTTCAGTGCTTCAGTTTCTGCCTGGACGAAAAATTCTCGCGTTTTATGAGAATTCTGACAGCACTGAAGTTCAATGCAAAAGTCTTCCTTTTTCTGTTCCAAGATGTGCATTTCTAATTGGAAAGAGAAGCAAACACATTTTTTCATTTGGAGAAAGAAGCACAAACCTGAGATTTCTCATTTGAAAATGGTTTGCTATATTCTTATTTGCAGCAGAAAGCAACAAGTAATTTAATTTCAGATTCACACTTTCTTCGCCACTAAGGAACAAGACCTGTGTTACCTACAGCATGGATGTAGGAGTTACAACTTATTTACTGGATTTTTCTCATGGAAATATGAAAACGTCATCACCATTTCCTAATCCCTCTTCCCCTTAAATGATTGCTTAAAATAATGCTGACTGGAGAAAATTATCTTTTGTAAAAATCAGCTCTACCATAGCAAGATGTGATGCATTTCTGCTACAGAGAGGGTAATTTTCAGGTTATTAACTAGACTTTTACTTAACTTAGACTCATTTTCATCCATTTTGGCTACAAAAGGAACAGCATCAAGCTGCAATTAGCAAAAAAAAATTTAAGGCCACATTATTCACTCCTGGAGAGTGTGAAGTACAGGCTCATACAACTAAAGAACTTGAAGAATGCCAAGCAGAAATTGTGCCAAAGAAAAAATTATCTGACTAAAATGCTGAGTGTGATAGTTAGTTCTCTTAAGCTTGGCTACTAGATATTTTTAGGACATATTTCTGATATCAAGGTATTTAAATGAAAGAAAGATCTACATACCGCAAATGTTCTTTCATAAAGTAAGAACACAAAAGTTTTAATTATAGAACATATTAAAAAATGAGATTAAAAAACCCCAGCAAATGAAAAAAAAAGGTCTATATATTCTTCATTCTTTCATTTAGATTCGTAGAGAACAAACACTGGAGCTTTTGTTTATTTAATAAAGTTAGTGTTTCCAAACATTTTGGATAAATTGTAGGGTATACATTCTTTGATCTATCTTAAAACATGCACCTCAAACATAAGTAACTGTCTATACAGTTGAAATCAACTAGAAATAGGTCAAACCCACACATCAATCAGTATCAAGGTGTCATGAAGAGTGTAAGACATTTAAGCACTGTTTCTAAGTAAAAAATACTGAAGACTGTCTCTAAAATGCATTGCAATATATTCCTCTTTCCTTAAAGAAGGAAAGACCCAGCAAAAGGCACAGGAAACAGCTTGAGGACACTGAGAAATGACATGTAAATTGACTGGAGTCAATTTAAGAAATTCTGATACAAAGCTATGTGTTACCACCTTCAGGAAAAAGTTATGGTACCTGCTGCTTGTCTGTATTCAACCCATCCACTTCCATGCAAACTTACTTGAATCCACTCTCACCATTCCTTTAAACTATAACTAGTGGTTTTGGTAACAGAGAAACAACAGTCAACAGCCTATCAGAATCTTTCTGAGCACCAATAAACACATGGGGAACCAAAGCTTGATAAACCATTTATCAATAAGTATAACATTACTTTCAGCACTGTGACTGAAATGCTTTCCTCATATTGTTTCACAACTCATGCAGAAATTGAACACGGGCCACAGTCGCTTGGATTCTTTGAGCAAATGTATGCTACTTCCACTGACTTCAGCAGAGATTTCCTCTTCAGTGTTGCTACATTTAAAAACTGGATTTGACAAAGAAAGATGCATTTTTAAAATATCACTGAACATACTTTAAGAACCTGCCCCAACTCAGGAGTGACAACACATAAGCGCAAATTCAGAATCCTGTCTAGTTAGTACTATTGGAAAACTAATCTAGTCTGAATTTCTACACTTGCAAAGGTTTTTATAGGGAGAAGTACACTTGGTAGAGATGTGTTTTCCAGTTGACTTTTATTATAAAGAACCATCTATCAAATGTCATCCAGTTGACTTCTCCCATCTCAGATACAGTGTCTGTATACACGTAGTTGCAAATTATGTAGTCACGCACTGCAGGGGAAGTGCAATGCTTCACTTGACACAATAACTTTCCTCCTCTTCCTCTCTAGGGCATCAGCTTATTCTATAAGCCATATATACGTGAAGTGCTTCATGTGAAGTGTGTTACATTGTGTGGAAGAATGTGCTGCTTTTAGTGCCAGGTCTTCAAGAAGAGTTCACAGAGTCCCTGCAGCTGGCAGGGACCACGACCACTGGAGATAACCCTGTTGGCACCTCAATCATTTGTATTAGGAAGTTGTCATCAGTGGATTACAGCAATTGCCTGTATTACTTGTGCCCTGCTGTTGCCCTTCTAGCAGATTATTAGGCATTGTTGTACTCCCCCACTGAGGACCAGGACCTTTGAACATGAGGATTCTTCCAGTTGTCTGAAGAAGGCCTTACCTACTTCACTCAATCCTCCTCCATGCCTCTCCCTCTTACCAGAGGGATCAAGGCTAACACCCCTGGGGTTCTCATGCCCTTGATCATCATGCCCAGAGCCATACAGTCACATGTAATTCTTTCCAGGTCACCCCAACAGTATCATTAGCACCTACGTGGTGGAGCAGCAACATCCTGAGTATGAGCTGCAAACAAAAAACAAAGCTCTCTAGGTGACAGGCCAAGTCAGCAGACAGATTTTTATTTTTAAAACAGGAAGTAAACATGTCTGCATGATGAGGAAAATATCTACATTAGGAACTGCACTTCAGGCTAAATCCTTAGGCCATGCCAAGGCACAGGGCTTTATGTCGTCAACTCTAAGTTACAACAGCTGAAGAGATAATTTAAATAGGACTAGACCTGTGTTGGCATTCATTAATGCTAATGCTACTTCTTTAGGCAACTTACATTTGCAGCACACCTTTTCATCCAGATTTGATTCCCTCAAGCACATGGGTAAGACTAAGCATCATCACAGCAAGCCTGTAAGCAGCATTCCCGGAAGCATTAGGCAAAACACAGAGGACCTGCTTTTTCTCTACTTGCCTTTGTAAGAGACAAGATGAATTGGAAGCACTCTGCCCAAGGGCATTAAGCTTAAAGGTTTTGACTCATTTAATAAAGCTATAATGCTTTGTTTTGGTCAAAATATTACATTTGTCACTACAATGCTCGGGGGAAGACATTTTGAACATTGTCAGACCAATGGGCATAGGGATTTTCTTATTTTTAAATTCTCTTTACAGCCCATGACCCCCACCCCAAATAATTTAGGCCTTGGTACATGGTAGCTTGTCTTGTTGTTAAACTAAGTGGCAATTTTAATCAATGCATGTCAGTGCTTTTCCTCGTGCCTCCTGCAAATCGTATTGTGCACTAATTACCAATGCTGCAGACACACACTGGGGAGTAAGTAGCATTTGCAATAATTAGGCTGCACAGGGAACATCAGAGAAAGGGTAAAACAGCCTCACAATCTTTGGAAAAAAATTATGTAGATTTCATTAAGTGATACCACCACCACTGATTCTGGTTCTCGAGTATACTAAACAACTTATTTTCCACATAAAACAGAACAAGTTCAGTAGCCCAGATTAATATTTCACTATAGGGGGAAGCTGAACAGCTGATCTGTATGTATTTATCTTGAATGAATAGCTTGTTCACATTGAGGGAAAGAAAAGCAAATGTTAGGAAGAAGAAATATAAAGACACTAGAATTAAATCTGGGAATTTATTGTGAGGGACATAAGGGTAAGATAACGCTATCATGGCTTGAAATAGTAAAGGTAGAACAGAACTCAATGTTGTTAAGCTGGGATTGGTTAAAAAGTCAAGTAAAAACATTGAACCTATCACATTGTGCAGGGACTCACTATTTCTCATAGCTTCTTCTAAGAAGTGGGGGTTTGGCACAGAGATAGGGAAAATACTGCATTACAGAATCCTGTACCAACAATGATAAGTGCAAAGAAGGTGCAGGTTCAAATGGAAGACTAATGAGGCAGTAGCTTTCCATGTTATACCACTCAGCATATGCAGCAGTCCCATCATCCAGCAGAAGCTGTGTGGGCAACTCCTTCCCCCTGCTTGTAGTCTTTCAGCACCCCACTAATCAAACTGCCAAACTGCACTGAGCAGCTCAGGGGTTTTCAGGGCATCTCTATGGAGTAACAGCAAAAGAAAACAAATGAAACTCAATGGACATGCACACAGCACCTGAAAATACAGGACTGGATACATATCTGCCTGGAGATGAATATGGGGACATTGGAAGCCTTTGGTGCACCAAATCACCTACAAGTGTAATGGTATTTACTGCTTGCCATCTATAGCTTACTAGTATTTAAGCTGGTCTGTGGCACAGACATAGCATGTTCTCATCTGTCTGCAAGACTGTATGAATGAACCCCTAGATGGATGACAGTAGGAGGCATAATAGGAAAAAGAGGAAAAGCAGGAAGGAAGAGAATGAGACATACACTCTGGGAGCACAACCAAAGCTAACTGCAAACTAAGTAGCTTACTTCTCCTACGTGGCACTGTCAGATTAAAAACATTTGAAAAAATTTAGAACATTCTGCTACATTTGAGGAAGTGGAATGTCAATTACTAAAAGCCTCCAAAATTCAGTGATTGACAAACTATAATTTATTGTTAATCATAGAATGGTATGGTTTGGAAAGGACCCTAAAGATTATCTAGTTCCAAGCCCCTGGCCATGGGCAGGGATGTGACTCCATCATGGTGCCCAGGGCCCCATCCAACCTGGCCTTGAACCCTTCCAGGGACAGGCATCTACAACTTCTCTGAGAAATCTGGTCCAGTGCTTCACCACCCTCTGGGTAAAGAACTTCTTCTTAACATCTAACCGAAATCTCCACTCTTTTAGTTTAACAGCATTCTCCCTTGTCCTGTCACTATCTGCCTGTGTAAAAAGTTGCTCTTCCTCTTTTTTTGTACTTCAACTACTGGAAGGCCACAATGAGGTCTTCCTGGTGTCCTCTCTTCCCCAGGCTGAACAGCCTCAGTTCTCTCAGCCTGTCCTTACAGAAGATGTTACCCAGCCCTTGGGGCCGTTGTCTGGACCTGCTGCAACAGGTGCAGTTTGCAGTCTGGACTGCAATCATGTATTTTTTTTCTTCATAGTCTAAACAACAACACAGCTCAAA